ACCATAGACTTTGCATGTAAACCTGATGCTCCTGATGCTGAAATCGCGTTCGGTGTGAACGCAGCATTAGAAATTTTTACTTGGTAAGATTCTTGAAATACGAAAAAAACAAGTCTAATGAAGTATTTCAAGAATAATTAAAATTTTCTTACTCCACTGGCAGAAATTTTGACTTGAGTCAAAATTTCAGGCTAACAAGACAAATAATCTTACACATTCTGAAAACAAGATGATTATTCTTACACAATCAGTTCTTGTTTAGTAAACCAGTCTCGAAACAAGATCAAAAAGACTTTCTGGCTGATATAAGGTTTTAATAATTGGTTAGGTGGACATTTTTTGCAGTGTAAATTTTCAATGAAAAAAATAATACAGTTCCCCCAGTATCATCTAATTTCTATGGCAACCGCATCCAGCATCCTTCCTCGGTCTTTATGTAAGCCTTCATCCACAGTTCATGTGTTTGGTGTACCTGCAGCGTATTGTTCTTAGATGTAACACTAGCATTGCTTTTTTTTTGTTTTGTTTTGTTTTGTTTTCTTGCTGCAAAAGCCTGGGAAAACAGACTGTGGTGAGAGAAGCGATCTCTTCAGAGCGTCTCTCGTGTTCAGCTGGAAGCACATTTGCATGTCACTGCAGTACAGAGAGAGAAAACAAACAAACAAATAAAAACAAGCACAATYTGGAAGCAGGCTTGAGGTGTTGGTGGGTGACGAGGGGCAAGGCAGGCTTGCGGTAAGCGAGGGCAGGCCAGACAACTTTAAGCTCACACTCTTACGACAGATGTGCCAGTTTCAACACGTGACGATGTCATTAAAAAGGAAAGTGCTCATGTTTGCGTTGACCCTGGAACAGCTGCTTTAAGAGTGCAGAACAGCAGGCCGTCAAACTGAGACAGACACACGGGGGGTGTGGTGGGGAGGCCGTGAGTCCGGCCGGCAGCTCGCCGCCGCCGCTAGCCTCCAGGCTTACCGATGGTAGCGGAGTGTTTGGGGCTGGAAGCAGAGCCCTGCTGGTTAAAAGGGTGGTGCAAGTTCCCAGCTGCGAAGAGAGCAGAGCCAACAAAACTGATGGGCGACCACTCGAGAGACACAAGAAGCCCGCTGTCGCGTAAGCATTTGTGTCAATAAAGAGACAGAGAGCGGACAGTGGCTTAGACAGGACAGCGAGAGAAAAGGACAGGAAAGAGAAAGTGACAGTCCCTCCAGGAATTTGTTTTCTGTCCAACACTGTTACTTCACTGTCAGGTTTTTTTTTTCAGCTGATCAGCACTTTTTTTTATTAATTAAGCTAATAAACTGCAATTAAGGAGAAATTTAGCCTAAAGAGGTCTTTATTTTGATCATTTTTTAGCTAAACTTTCATTAATTAAAAAAAAGTCTGTGTTTGCCTTTGCCATGTGCATTGTGAACTGAACATTACAAAGTGTTATTAGCAGAACAATTAAACCCTGGAAAGATTGTAAAGAAAAGAAAGACAGAAGCAGAGAGACAGCAAAGACGTAAAGTAGGAAATATTTTGTGTTTTCACTCCAGTTGTAAGCTGTAATTCATGTCCACTTCTGAAAAAAATTGTAAGTAAACAGAGATTTATGCATTTTATGTAAGGACTGTTTTAGGTTTAAGTTCATTTTTGACACCAGGAATACAGAATTCATGTCTGTGGAAAGCATTTAAAGATGTTGCAATACTAAATTTAGATGTCTTTTTTCTTCTTTTTTTTTTTACGAAAGAGGATTAGGGCCACTGGGGGGAAAAAACTTTATTCTCAGAATTCTGAGCTTAAAGTCAGAATTTGACTTTTTCCTAATTCTGAGAAAAAATAGTCAGAACTCTGACGTTTTTCAGAATTCTGAGATTAATATTTTTTTTCTCTGTGGTCATAATCGCCATTCGTACTTTTCTTTTGTTCAAAAATTACAGAAAAAAARCTGTCTGGTGTTTAACATTCCTTAAGTCTAGTTTTATTTACAGATTCTAATAAATATTAAAATAGCATCCATGTCTTTTAGGAACAACCTTGAACAAACAATGGAGTGAAAAATAAAAGAAAAATTAAAACACCATCATTACACATTATTATTTTAGAGAGTCAGTAAAGGGGAATCAAGGCTACAAGGACAAAAATAAATACAATAAAAAGTAAACCATGATTTTCCATCTTATATTTGTTGAGAYTTTTCCTTTGTTTTCTGTAAAACTGCAGCATCTGACAACATTTCCATCCCCTCACCTGAAGTGTGAAGGGTCTTACTCTTCCTGAGGTTAAAGTGAGATGTGACAAACAAACAGAACAACGGTGATAATTATTGTCCTCGTCTCTCGGGACAAAACAAACGGGCCTGACTCAAAGGTTGGTGTAACCTGATTATGACACCATTGTTTCATGTTTTCACTTTAACACACGTGTGAAGTTTCACCGGAGACACTCACTGCGGTTGTCTTTCATCTGCAGGATGGGCGTGTAGAGGCTTTTGGACGTGCGACCGTCAGAGGTGGTCAGCACCGCGGCGTTGTTCCTTTCGCCCTGCTGCATGGGGCTGGACTGGTGACGCAAGATGTCCACCAGCGACCTGAAACAGGTGAGGCAGTTCTGTCGGAAAATTTATCAGCCACATATTTTTACTTTTCTAACATCAAAGAAATTAAAAAAAATCTTCAGAGATTTAAAAGCTGTTACCAACATTTCTGGTTCTCTCACTTTGTTCTCTGTGATCACCTTGAATTTTGTCTTTGTAAATTTGTGGGTTCGTTACCTCCAGGAACTGTGACGGAGGTGGGTATGATGTGGATGACAGAAAATGAAATAATGTGCACTGCCTTGAATACAATTTTGCAACAAAAGCCATGATTTTCAAAAATTGGCCATACAACTTGATCAACTTCTCCTGGCTAACACTCAGATTTCAGTAAAATGGCAATGAAAAAATGTGAAGATTTATTCGTAATTTTGAGTCAAGTTGCCAACATGTTCGCCTGGAAAAAAAAACAATCGCTTTTTTCTACGATTYGCTTYATACAGAGGGTCTGCACTCCCCGCTAACAGGAAGTGATTTCTTGCTAAAGGCGTGGACTCTGTTGAAGTTTAAAATGAGTTGGATCTGATTTACCCAATTGCTAATGGTTGGCTGCGACGTATGCAGAGCGCCAGTTCGACCACGAAGGAAGCTAAGCTAAGAAGCTAGCCYGAAATTGTGTGCACTCTAATCAACCTTTCCCTACTGGTAATAGAGAAGTACTGAGCTGAATAAGACAGCTGTAAATGATCCTGCAGGCTTTGTGAGACAAATTTAATTTAATTTGAAAGCCTTGTCAACACAGACTGGCTTAATTCACTTCCTCCGCTGCCAATGCTAAACTACAGGAAGGTGAAAACGGCGCCGAAGATTGATGTCATCGTTTACAACTCCTCCTCTTGCTCACTGATTGGCCCGGTTGAGATTCTACCAGAGAACTCCTCRTCTATGGGAGAAATTCCAGACTAAGCAGAGAAAGGAATTGAGCAGAACTCTTTAAGGAAAGGCCTAGGCTACCAACGTGTCTCCAACAGTCCCGATCGACTAGCTTTAGGAATCATCTAAGTTCTGATGTTTCCCCGCCGTCAGGCTCTGACCCGATCATTCTCACCTCGGCATGTTGATTTCTCTGTTGCGGGGTCGACGTGCCACCTTGCTGAAGGCGATCCTGACGCCAATAGCCACCACCAGCGTGAAGGAAATCACCCCTCCGATCACGTAGGCCGTACTGATTTTAAAAAAAAGTCCGTAAATCACTCAAAACAAAAAGGAAAACAATCTGTTATTTGGCTTCTGCTTTGTCATTTTCACATTTACCAACTTTACCAAAGTGACTRAACATCTCCGTTAAGARGATCATCCTACTTYCCTTCAGTTGACAGACGTGCAGAAYCTGACCTGCTGTTCTGCTGCTCCAGATTCTTGGCCATGGGCTTGTTGTCCGTGGGCACGGTGACGGTGGCCTGCTGGTCGGCCCAGACTGGAGACTTATAGTTGGTGCAGCTGTCCTGATCCAGCCGCTGGCCCTGGTGCTCGCAGCAGAACCGGTAGTGGCAGGTCCCGCAGCAGTAAATGTACGTGTCCTTGGAGCAGTTGAACGTGTTGTCGAAGTGCCCCATGACATCGAAGTAACCCCTACGAAACAAAGACGAAAAATAAAGACAATCTGTCACCACAGATGGAGAAGCTCAGTGTTTCTGCCAGGAAGAACTCCTCTGTGACACGAAATCTGGACTGTGTCGAGAAACRGCTAAAAGAAGATGTAGTTTTAGGTCACAGTTGCTTCTTTTTTTTGGCCTCGGTCCCTAAACATCACCGGAACAGAAACCAGACAGAAACGACAAGCCCCGAACAAATATCAGACTTTTGGATGTTTTCTTCGTTTTAGATCAGTGTTGYTTCTAACGGCCTGAATCTCAGCGAGGCCCACCAGCAGACAACTGATGTAGAGCTGATTACATATTGCCTAGCAACAGCAAGACGCCTCTCAGTGCACAGAATATAAGCTCGGGTGAGATGGAGACGAGAGCTGCAGGGGAATCATCTCTTTTATGGCATCGAGCGRGATCAACACGTTAAACACAGACAATAAATTCAAGTTGCTGCAAAGGCGCTGCGGCTCCTCGGGCATCAACTTCAGATCTGCAAAAAAGGTTATTTTACATGTTTAAACCAATTTGATTATTTTAACAAATTATTTCCAGACTATCCTGCTCGTGACACCATGTTTTATGGTATACATGTGTATTCCTAACTCAGAACACACAGACACGTCACATTTCCTGAAGTGTCTTATTTGTTGTCTTTGTCGTTCTGCTCTTTTGAAAAAGCTAAACACGCAGATTATTGCTGACCGAGGCCRGACTGAGAGAACCCACAGGTCAGATTTTGTTGCGACCTGATCCTGTCATGAAAACTGTCCTGCTCAGCTTTTTATCTGCTGCCTGCTCCTTTTTACTTTCACTTCCACATGCAGTTTATTTATCTGAACAGATTGACTCTTTTCGTTTGTCCGTGGTGAATATCAATGGTGGGCACTAGTCCCCTAAAGTGCAAATGTGCTAATTGCGGACCTTTCGCTTTAGGGGTTTTACTAACTTCTTTAAATGATGTGTGGATTTGCACTTTCTACATTTAGAAATGAGCAGYACTAATCGCAAATAATGTTTCACATACGATTGTCAATTTCGTCTAATGTAAAGAAAGAGAGCCACACAATTCATTAAAACTTCGTAATCATTTTCACTCACAGAGCTTTACACTCTGACTTATTGTCCTTCTGCGTGACGGTTTTCATTTAGTAGAGATTTCCCATAATTCTTTCCGTGGCAGGAAGCAATTGGAGCTACTTCACTGGGTGACAACCAACCTGGTTCTGATCTGCAGAACCACACTCAGCTGTGCAGTTTCTACCTCCTCTCAGAGGGACACCGCGGCAATAAATATTAAATAAATAATAATAATGAAAGAAACACAGAACAATTTAAATTCACGCTCTTACTTTGAAAAGAACGCATTCCTGTCCTTTGTCCTGTAGCCTACCCATAATGCATTGTTTTACAACAAACAGTTTAAAAAGATAGATAGATAGATAGATAGATAGATAGATAGATAGATAGATAGATAGATAGATAGATAGATAGATAGATAGATAGATAGATAGAT